TATATATATATGTAAGTTCAAAATGAAGATACACTCAATTTGCACTTCTGTTTTCATATTTTGTAATCTGGCAATCTTGTTGCGAAAACATTTTTAATCATTCTTGAAAAATTTCCCGTTCATGTAAGTACATCTGATTTCGCTACTCGCTTCTAGTTTATGTTTTATAATGTTTTTCCTTTTCTTTTATTTTTTGCTTTTACATGTCAATTTTGCTTATTGTGTTCTATTTTATTTGTTGTAATTTTTGTAAACAAAATTTTTTTGAGTGCTTCTCACACTATGGTATTAATAATATTTTGTTATGGCTATATTCATATAATATCAGAAAGCACTCTTTTTTGCTGATATAATTGTGTGGGCTGATGAAAAGATTATATCTTTTTTTCCCCCCGGTTTTTTTAAACAAAATTTCATCCTTTTTTTTTTAATCAGTTGTTTGTTATTTTTTCTTTAATTATTATTTCCCCCCTTTTTTCATATGTATATAATTTTCCTTTGTTTTATCTTCATTTTGAACTTATCTAATGAGTTCTGTTTACTTGAAGCTTATGTGCAATAAATGAAACTTATTGTTTTTCTTAAATTTCTTCGTGTTTTCTTTTATTTATTTATTTTGTTATACAGTACAGAACCCGTTATCCGGAAATCAGAAAACCGGAAAACCAAAAAACCGGAACGAAATTTAATAAATTTTCCAGCCATTTTTTGTTAAAAAAATGTTTTTTTCCTCATAAGATTTTAGGATTTTTCTTTCTTTTTTGAAAGATGTTTACCTTACCATCATTTTGGAAATAATCATTAGTGTATTACTTCATCGTTTTTTCTTCTTTTTAAGATTATTTCCAAATATTTTTTTTTGAAGTTGGGTTTAACAATAAAAAAAACAGCTTTTTGTAGCGATTCAGAAAACCGGAAAAATCAGTTATCCGGAATAGCGATGGTCCCGTTCGTTCCGGATAATCGGTTCCCTACTGTATATATATATATTGTTTTTAATTTTAATCATCATCTAGTTCAGACGTAGTTATATGGTCCCAGTTTTTTTTTCTTTGAACCTATGTTTAACTAACTCTCCTTATTTAACAACAAATGTTTGTATTTAATCCTAATTATTCTAATAGGACAACAAATAATGACCATGAAGGAGCTCCACAACTGCCCAAATGTCAAAAAAGAGTTATTTTTTAAACCTGTTTCAATTTATAGGATGATTCAGAAACTTTAAGATAAGGAAAATTCAGTAACCTATGAAAGATTTCTAGAAAATCTTTTGAATTCCTTAGAAACGTAAATAAATTATTTTTTGTTTTTCTAAAGAATAATACGAAGTAATGGAAAAAGAATGTATGTTTTAATTACATTCTTTTTTCTTTTCTGTAAAAATTATGTTTTTTTTGTTTTGTTTTGTTATAAATATGTTAGATATAAAGAGTTTCATTCAGAGTCATTAGTAGTTGACATTTTATCTGGAAGAAACCTACTCTTTGAGGATATAGGGAAGAACTGAACAAAATGACAGAAAAAAATTAATGACCAATATAATTGCTTAGCAATTAACATATTAACAGGCTATGAAATTTCAGTTCTTTAGATCCAAACTAAAATTTTTACTCACCATAATTTAACATTCATAATAAATAGGAACAATTTTTAAAATATAACAGTATAGAAAAACGATCTTTTTTGAAGTGATACTTCTTATGCAACTTCCAACAAGGTTGCGTTAAACAGTTAATGATACATTTTTATTGGCCGGGAAATTACGTGGTAGGATCCAGTTTTCCATCATTCATTTCCATATTGTTTTCGTTCTCACTAGCTTAAAAATAATAAAAGTCATAAAAGTATTGTTTTTCTACAAATATTTTAGTTTGATTTGATACACATATAATTTAATAGGGTAGTATTTTTTTATTTTCAAACTTAGTGGATAACAATTGTAAAAAATGAGTGAAAACAATCCCACGGACAATGCGACGGATTTAAGGTTATGTCAAGGTACGTCTCTTGTGAATATCAATTGATTGTTAGGTTTTCTCTTTTCTAATTGCCATTTATATTTCACCAAATGCTGCCATGAGGGATATTAAATTATTTATTGCAAAATCTTTATTGCCACTATCCACTGCAGGTTCACAAGCTCTGGCAGACGTTACTGGTGAAGAAATTGATTATTGTGAGCGGCCTGTGATCCTTGCAGGAGATTTTAATGTGAATTTCTCGTTACCTGAAGCTGAAACATTATTAACCTTCCTTAAAGACAAATTTGGATTGGAAATGATAAATGGTAGGAATGATCCAACAACCAAAGGGGTAACTACCATTGATGCAGTTTTTGCAAGAAATATTGAAAAAATAGAACTCAAACATTTCGTATCTTACTTTAGTTATCATAATCCCATTGTAAATGTTATAGATTTGGATATTTCTCCACTCGAAAATGATAATTAAAAGATGCGATCAATTGTGAATTGTAAGCATTGTTAATAAAGTTTGTCTTAAAGAAACACTATGATTTCACTAAAAATCAATTTCTACCCCTTCCTATTTTCATTTCCACATTACGAAGTTTCACTTCTTCTGCGCGGAGGGACTCCATGCACTATTTTTTTTTTTTTATTATTGAAAAGTGTCTGAATTAGCATTCTTTACTGTATTTAAAAGAAAGATGTAGCTCTGGATTTCGAAACACATCCTCGTGTTTTTGGAATAAGGCACATTAATGAAATCATTCATAATTTAATTTAAAGCTCAACGCTTTAAATTTTGAAATATACTCTCCATACTTAATTGCAATATGGCAAGTGCGATTAGTATGGAGAGTATATTTCAAAATTTTTCGTCCAAATTTGCCACATTTTGCGCTTTGATTATAAGAATAACTTAAATTCAATTTATAGTACCAGAAAATAAAAAAGTTTTTGCATCTAATTTCTTAAGAAATTACATTTTTTGTATTTATGAGCTAGTTTGAGCATTTACACTGTACTTACAGTTATTGGTTAAAAATTTGTTTATGGTATTTGAATTAAATAAATTCTGTTTATTAGTGTACCATATTAGTCTGTGATCCATTAATTTAATTATATTAATAAGCTGTAAATGATATTGTAATAATTTTTTATAAAGTTTAGAAATTAGGTTTTACTATAATAATTTTTGTAAAAGTATCAGAGAATTACAGTTAGTTTAATTTTTTGTGAAATTCATTACATTTATTTTCCTTTCTAATTGTTACTATTTAGTTTTTGCTTTTTTAAAAATGAGTTTTGAAATTAATATAATTTTAGTTGGATTGAAATTATAAATTGTTAAAAAAATTGTTGTATTTGATATTTCGTTTTTAAAAAAAAATTCTTGTAGTTAGGTTTAGAAGAAACCTATTTCTAATTGTCACTACTTCTAGTTCTATTATTATTTCCTTAACTTCAATTCCTTCTTTTAATTATGATTTTATGTTCATTTAGGTATTCTGATTTTATTGTTAATGAAATTGACTCAAAGCTGAATGTTGTTCGCTTAACTAATTTAGAAAAGCCTCCAGAACCAGTTTTAGACAGCAAAGTATGTATTAATTTGATATTTTGAATAAATAAATTTCTTTCCCTGAATTTTAATTGTTTAACTGGGATATTTAATTCTGAGATAATTTTACATTATTTAGGAAGCATTTTACATTCTTTTTTTTCCTGAATTCTCATCTAATTTACACTTATGCTCAAAATAAACATACAAAAAATAATTTTTAGTATTATATTGATGATTCAGAATAATATTGGCAATTTTGCATCTTTCCGTGAATTTTTTTTAAAAAATAAGTTTTGCTATGTAAATTTATATTTTACACTCCAGATAATTATTTTTATATTAAGGATTTTTAAATAATAAATGCATAGAACATGTTTTGGACTACTTGGTAGCATTAGTTTTTTAGGAAAGTTTTTCTTTTATTAAAGTTTATTTAATTAAAGTGGTTTGATGATTGTCTGTAACTGCGAACTGATACTGATTTGCTGATTGATAAAAGTAATATTTTCCCGTATTCTGATTCAATTCTTTTTCTTTCACATGTATAATGTTACAAATTGTGTATATTTTAATTTCAAACTGAAATTTTTTATCAGATGTTTATGTGGTGTATTTAAGGATGACTTAAAGTGGTAAGAATCTGTTTTATAATATATTGAATTTAAAAAAAAAAATTTGATTTGTCTTTTTAGATGACTGTGTGGCATTGTTAATGATAACTTATGATAAGAGTCAAGCAATGAATTTGTTGAAAGAAATCAAATTGAAATTATTATGTTGTTAGATGTGTATGTGGCATAGTTGATGATGATTTAAAATTGTCAGAATCTAAGAATCTTCTTCTTCTATTAGCTCTACTGTCAGTTGTCAGCCATTGCTGTCTCTAGCAGCTTTATCTATCTTTATCAATTGAATGCCACTACTCTCTATCTAATAAAAAGAGAAATCAAAAATCTTGTAAAAAGCAGTTAAAAACTCGAATTTCAAAGAAAAGTTGTGCAATACATCAGAAATTCCACAATAAAATTGAAAACAGTAACAAATTTTTAAAAATAAAAACAATGAAAATTATGAAAAAAAGGAAATATATAATAATGATAACCGAAGCTGAGGTCATCAGGTTGTCCAGCCCCGGAAGTCATAAAAATACAGAACCTTTTCTATTAAAAAAGTTTTGTATTTTTATGACCTCCGATGCTGGTACCCCCTGACGACGTTAGCTTCGGTTGTCATTATTATATTTCTATTCCCCCCCCCATAATTTTCATTGTTTTCTTCTTTAAAAAAAATTACTCTCAATCTAATAAATCCTACACTGCTCAGAGATTTTTTCTCATTTAGCTTACCATATTGTACATGGCCTACCTCTTTTTCTTTTCCTTCTTGTATTTGTTGTTGAAATATGTGTTCCCTTTTTTCCTTCTGGCTAATGGGGAATTATTATTTTTTTTTACTGGGTTTACATCTGTGGGATTTCGATGAACTTCACTAATTATATAAACTTCTCTAACTAACTTGTACAATACAATAAGAATCTATCTATAAATATGTAAAAAAAAGTGTAAGAAATATGAGGAATGAAGAAAAAAAAATTCTGTTGAAGCTTATAGCGAAAGGTTGAAACTGGCAAAATTCAAGTTTTTTTAAATATCTGTCATGTATCTAATTTCTTGTATTCATTTTTGACTTTTTTTATAGCATGACAAGAAAAATTTGTTAAATCAATTTTAAATTATAGGCATGATGCAAGAATTGACATTTAGATATTCAAATGATTATAATATCATGTCATTATAATATCATGTCATTATAATATCACGTTATAAAAATATTTACTTAGAAGACTATGGAAATCCATAGCAATAACTGCTGATAAAATGATTGATGATAAAACATGAATTTCCTGCGAAATCTTTGCGAATAGAGTAATTTTTAAAAAGTAATTACTTCAATGTGAAATTCATGTATCATAATAATGTATTATCAGGGGTCTGTCTAGGTTTTTCTGTAAAGTATCTATTTTGTGAAAATTTAGACATAATTTGTGAAAATTAAAAATTATTTTAAAAAATCAGCACAAAAATGTGATAAAAATGTATAGTTTCTTACGGGATACAGAAATAAAATTTAAAAAAAAAGTATTTTGTGAAATTATTGTTTTTCCTTAAGTTGATTTTGTGAAGGTACCGTTAAACGGCAGTAAATTTGACTTAGACAGACCCCTGATTATAAATATCAATATCATAAGAACCAAGTGAAAATCTATAAGTGTGAATGGATGAACAATGGGAGAACCGTGAAAATTTATGAGGAAATTAAGCAAGTCAAAAAGTGATTATTTATTTTTAAATGTCTATGTTCCTGGCCATGCTCTGCTGGCAGCAGGCTAATAGCTTTTGGAATTTCTCAGTTTGAAGTGAGTGTTTTTTTGTTTAGCTTTGCTGAAGTTGGCGGTATGTGGAATGGTAGCTCTTAGAACTATGTGTTGTTTGACTATGAGTTTCGTTAGATAATTATATTTTATACTTGAATACTTAATTTATCTTGAAATAAAGATGTTTTATTTCAAAGTTGGTGTTATTTTCATCAAAATAACATAATTTAAATGTATTTAAAAATTATGTGTTGAGTATTCTATTAAAAATATATGGATTTTAAAAACTACATACATTGAAATATGTCATAATAACTGTCACAAAAATGAATGGCTACACAATATAAATTTACTATTTCATTTTCACTAATCGAGCATGTCAAAAAAGAGACAACACATAATGCGTCTCAAAATTTCTGATTATCATATCAAGATTTTTTTAAACCATGCAAAAATTCATAACCCTGCCAAACAGAGGAGTAAAAGAGTGCGCAAGTTTGCGTTGGAATTGTACTTTTTTTACAACATTTTTATTAACATTGCATCCATAACTTTTGCATTTCTGCTTTAAGAGGAGTAAAAGAGTGTGCAAGTTTGCGTTGGAATTGTGCTTTTTTTACAACATTTTTATTGACATTGGGTCCATAAATTTCGATTTTCTGTTTGCTTAAGTAAATTGTATGAAATCTAGAATTTTCCAAAATCCATACTTTCTGAGTAGTGGGGATTTTCAAGGTTATACTGTATAACAAGTATGGAGATGAACTAATTTTTTCTGACAAGTCTGACATATTTTCATGTTGAATATATCATATTTTGAAATTTATCCTTCATTTTTTATAAATAATTTTAGAATGCATAAATTTTTTTTTGTCATGTTTATTATTTATCTTGAAACCTTTACTCTTTTTAAACAGCTTAGTGACTTACTTGTTGAAGATACTTTGAAAAAACTACAAGATTTAGCTAATAATGTGGAAGAATGTAATGAAGTATTAATTGATGTAAGTTTTTAATGAATATTAGATTTCATTTAGTGTATATTAGATTTCATTGAGTTTGTTTAATTTCACATGTTCAAAAAGATTTCCTTAGCTTAAATCTTAAAATTTATATAATTATACTATGAAAATCGCTATTCAATTGAAATAAATGAGCAGTTATTATTTTTCTTAATGAAATGATATGATTAATATTGACTTTGCTTAAAATTTTGGTTTATTGTATTAAAATGCTGATTTTTGTTTGAATTTTGAAACTTCATTTTTTTTTTTAATTATTCGTTTTTGTAACTCTGATTTCATTTGTAAAGGTTTCAGAAATGGACAAAAACTCTAGAAAAGAAATTCATATTGGATTAAGGCAAAGCTATAATAATATTGATTCAGCTACTGAAGATAAGGATGGAAAAAAGTATATAATTGTCAAGAAATGTTTTCAAAGAGGTAAAACTTACAATTATATATAGTACTTAATGAAATGTAATATTTTTTGTAAAATATAATTTATGTAATTACAGTTTTTTTTTTCTTTTTGCTTGAACAAGAATTGAATTTGCTAAAAGTGGTATTTTATGTTTTTAGTTAATTAAATTACTTTGCAATTAACTAAAAATAAATTATTCAGTATATTTTAATCTTAAATAGGGTTTAAACTGTTTTTAAGTTTACCCATTCCCCTAATTTGGTTCAAATCTTGGATTCTATAATTCAAAATTTTGTTTTATTATCAAATTAAATAGTTTTCATTTTACATTACAATAGTTTCCATTATGTTTTCTTCATCAAATTATCTTCGAGTATTTCCCTTTATAAATTAAAATTATTTTTGAGATGCATGTTTAGTTCTAGGAGCATGGAAAATTCAACAGCAAAAATAACAAGCTTTTCACAAGCTTGACTAATCTGTAGGACCATGTATTCATATAGTGGATATATATATTAAGGCTCAAAAATCTATCAAAAAGTATGTTTACTCTGTAAATTTATATTTTTGTATTTGATTTAATAACTTAATTCATAGGTAGCACTAATTGATTAACATATTCAAAGAATTTCCCACACCATTTAAATGGCATATTTGTATGAGAAAAACTGATTATTATATAAAAAATTATTTAGGCTGTTTTGACTCAATGTTCTCATTATCTTAATTTATTTGGAAGTTTTTGCTTGTTATCTACTTGTTATCTACTTGTTATGACAAGTACTTGTTATAGCATCTATATATTTACTTGTTATAACTTCTATAATTCTCATTTATTCCATATCTTGTGATTTGTTTTGTGTTAAACTTGTATACAAATTTTAATTTAGAAATGAAGAAAAAAAAAATTCTATTCAAAAATTCTGTTTGATTTTGGTTCAATTCAATTCATATGTTATGATTATTATTTATTTCATTTATTTTTGCAGGCAAAAGGTTTCAGCCACCTGCTGGTGGAAATTATTCCCATTTTGTTTTATACAAAGAAAATAAAGACACAATTGATGCAATTAATACTATATCTTCTTTCTTGAGGTATATTTTTTTGTTTTTTTATTTATTTTAAGTGATTATTAAAATTTTGATTACATTATTCGATGACATTTTATTAATCACCATTTTATTAATCACCATTTTAATAATCATCTATATCACTGATATTAATTATAATTTTTTCATGTTTTTCCATTATTTTTTATAGATAATATACACAATTATTAATTGAATTATTTTTACTATCCTTATATATGTATTTTTTGCATTGATGAAATTTTTTTCCCCGTCTTTAGATTGCTTAAGATTGCTTGCACATAATCAGTTTTTGCTACTAAAATGAGTTAATATATTAAAGAAAGAAATTTTTTTATTTTGAATGATCATATTTCTAGTATGATAATGTTTGAGATACCTAAATTTATTTAAATAAAATATCATTCAATTTTCTAAACTGAAGAATAGGTTTCATGAGATAATATATAATAACTAGATATATTTTTAAATTAATGTTTGATTTCTTGCCAAAATGTAATTGCTTTTTATAATTTTTGCTAAAAAAATTTGGATAACATCATATTTTTCAGACTATATATAGATTGTCTGTTTGGTCTTATTATTTTTAATGTTTAAATAGTCAACTTGCCTCTGGATTTAGAGAAATATTGATAATATGACCGTAATGATATGCTAGTAAGTTAAAATATTTTTTTTAAATATTTTTCATTGAATATAATATTTATAGACATAAATTAATTAAAAAAAAGTAACAATAAAAAACGCGTAGCTTAAATAAGTTCATTAATTTGCTAAAATTAAGTTTTCTAAGTTTTTAATTTATTAGATAAAGTTTTTAGTTTGGTAATAAAGTTTATAAAGTGAAAAAAAATTATTGAAATTTTTCGTAAGAAATAGTAAAATATCATAAACCTTCTTATCTATGTTCTTTTGCTCATCAAAAACTAAAGCCAAACATTTTATACAAATAAGTAACGCAAGCAAGTTTGTTATAAGAAAAAGTTTAGATGCTTGGTAAAGTTTTTAAATTTTTAGTTAATCTACTTTTTTTCTTTTCATAAAAAATTAAAAAATAATAAAACTACATTTTTTTGCTACTTTGGAATTTTTTTTGATTCTTACATAACAGAAGAAATTTGACATTTTATAAACTGATAATTTTCCAGAATCATTTACAATCTGTTTTAATAATATCATTACACTTCTTCATGCTCCTGCCTTTTGTGCTAAGCATTTTGTTTCAACTTTTTTTAATTTGTTGCTAGTCTCTTTAAATTTCTAATAATATGAAACATAAATGAAATTTTATTTTTTTGTTTTTGTTTTTTGGTGTAAATTCTGACTTGAAAATGATCGATAAGTACGTATTGTATTGTGCCATGCATTTGCTATCATTTCTTAAATTTCAAACAAATTTTTTGTCTCCTAACATTTGTTTATTATCTCAAAATATAATTACTATAAATGACTTTAGAGTTATTTTCTGTTAATTTTCACAATGTTAGAATTTATGTTAAAGTTGATGGAATTTGTCCGTAATTTGTCCTCATAATTTTTTTTGTAAATTTTTTTTTTGGTCAAAATCTATGTCTTAGTTTGCATAAATTAATATCAGCAATTGTGTTAAATTCATATAAATGCTTCAGAATTATTATTTAGGAAATGAGATATGTGTTATTTAGAAATTTATGTGTGAATTAATATTCTATTCAATTATAATTAAAGTAAATCTGTTTTTAGCTTTCTTTAATGTAGACATTTAAGAAAGTTTTATATTTTGTTTTGTGACAAAATTTTTTTTTTTTTTTTCACTCGTAATAAAAGTGTTCTTAGGGTGCTTGTAAATTACGTAGTAGTAATAACTATTTTGTTAAAAATAATTGCTATTGGAAACTAAATTCCAATTTTCGTCTGTTTTATATTATTTATCATTTTTAGACTGAAAATAAAATGAAACAATACTTTTTTTGTAAATTTCAAGGCAATCAAATTAGTAAAACCAAATGAGTTATAATGGTAGTAAAATTAAATAGCTTTTCAGAAAAATCATATTTCTCTTTCTGTTCAGCTCTTTAGTTTTGAATGCTAACTCAAGTATCGTTTTATAAGTTTAAAGTATTACTTTCAATGCTACCAGGAATACATTTGTTTAGAAATTTTTTTTCAAAATTTTATGAATAAGAGACCTATTAAACATTACTTTAAACTGTAACTAATATTTATGCTTTTCATTCAGGCATGCTCCATTATGATAACTAATTTACTAATTTTTATGATTAACAAATTTTTTATTTGTTGTATAAAATTTAGGACATTCCTTCTTAATTTTGATTAAATTGCTTGCTTTTTTATATTTAACTTTAAAGTATTTTGTGTTGTTTTAAAGGGTTCAACCAAAAATATTCTCTTATGCTGGAACAAAAGATAAAAGAGCAAAAACAAGTCAATTAGTTTCAGCTTATAGATTGCCATGTGGGAAACTTCTTGGAATTAATAAGCATTTTCAAATGATAAAAGTGGGAAACATTCAGTAAGTAAGCTTTGATTTGATAACAGCAGAAATTTGTTGAGTGTTTGGTCTTATTATTATTATTTTTTTTTCATTTCAGATTTAAACCAGATCAAATTAGATTGGGTGACTTAGCTGGGAATCATTTTAATATTGTTTTAAGGTTTGTTTACTTTTCTTTATTTAATTGATTTTATTTTTATTATAGTTAATGCACTGTTTTTTTTCCCTTTAATTTTTAATTTAATGTATATCAGAACTAAATATGGGAGCATTCAATGAAATGAAAGTTTCAGTGATTTTATATTATATTCTTATAAAGAATCAACTTTATATCAGATACTTAGTTAATTTTTACTAGAAAATCAAAATTATTAATCTTATTTAATTCTCTAAAATTGCCATTACGTTGTGATGTATAAATTTTTGTCTTAAATTAAAATTTCTGTTATTTTAAAATTAATATTTTCTTATTATTTAAATTTTTAAAGACTCAATTTTAAATTAGAGATCCACTAAAGTTTTACTAGAAAATTTAAACTATTAATCTTTTATTAATTGCCAAAATTGCTCCTTCATTGTTATGTATAAATTTTTGCCCTGAAATACTTCTTATCTTATTGTTGAACATGAACAAGAAAAGAATATATCTTCAGTTTTACTTATGATAATAAAAATTTGTCAATTTTAAAACTAGCAATAATCTAATTAATGTCAAAAGTTTTATTTAGTTTTATTTGGTAGTTAAAATTGTTAACACTGAGATTTTGTCAAAATTATATTTCTAAAGATTATACTTAACCTTCACATGGTGAAACCTGTCATTCTGTTCCAAATGTTGCCCCAGCAATCAGCAAAGGGTTAAATGAATTTCTTTTTTACAATTTGTCCAATTTACTTGCTGAATTCTGAATAATTGGAATAATCAAAATTTAAAATTTTGATAGTATTTTTCTTTATGTTTGTTTTAACTCTGCTCAACAATAACTTGCCAACAATTATAATTTTTAGTTAAGTTTAGGCACTGACATTGTCCAATATTTGAGATTGTCTTGATTAAAAATTAAAATAATGCACTTTATATGTTCCTAAACGTCATATGTTTTACTGAACATGAAAATAATTTAAAAACCCTTTTTCCATGTATATTAAGAAGGGAGTAGTGTTCTATGGGATCAGAATAAAAGTAACTCTATTACTGTAATTTAGACACAAGCTTTTGTTGCAAAAGGGGTGAACAATTGTATGTTAACAATAGACGTTAACAATTGTATGTTAACAATTGTTTTTAAAATTTTTTTTTGCTCCTTGTAGGCAGTTTTATGGGTCTGAAGATGTAATTAAACAAGCAATGCAATCTCTGTCTACCAAAGGTTTCATAAACTACTATGGTATGCAGCGTTTTGGGACATCTTGTGTACCTACTCATGCAATTGGCAGGTAACTCTATTTCTATGCTTTTATACTCTATACTACTTTATACTCTATATTTTATACTCTATACTACTTTATACTCTATATTTTATTTCTATGCTTTTATACTAATTTGACCTTTCCTTTATCTTAAATTGTTATAAAGAGTGTTCTGTTTATAGTTTTTTGAAGTATGTAAATTTTTAATAAATTTGTGTTATGAGTTTATTGTTGTTGTTGGTGATCTAATCAATCTTAGCTTAATCCTTTAGCACTCAACCTATAGTGTATCTAAAGTAAGAACTTCCCTAGCCATTCATCTGGACCAGTGGCGGTAACTATGGTAACGAGGTATAACTATTTCAAATCAGGGTGTGGGGTCACTGTTTAGGATAGGTTTTGACTCGGGTCCGTGAAAGAAAGGGAATATTTTTCTTCAGTCTACTGTGTTATCCCTAGAGTGAAAAGAAGCTACCATCCCTGAAATGCGCTATTCTTGTTTCTATAGCAGCAGACGGCTTCAGGCTTTGTGACGAGGGAAGTTCTTACTGTAGACAAACTATAATGCTCTTTAATTAAAATCAATTGAATAAAAACAACATTAAGACTTCAAAAATCATGGTTTATTCCAGTGTTGCTTGAACTTATTAGTGTCAGGACCCCATAACATTTATGAATATTTTGTGGGACCCCATAAGCATTGCATAACTCTGACGTGCGTGAGTGGAAATTTCAGTTTGTATCATAATATACTATTACAGTTTTAACTCTTTAACTTAAATCTTTAATTTTAAGAGAATAGAACAATGTTCAAATAGATTCAAATTTTTGGGAAATTTAATCATTAGATATCATCTGTCCATTAAGTGAAGCGACTGGGAAGGTAACTACTATGAAAACTCATAAAAGTAAGGATTAAATATGAACAGGAATAGTGTGCCTGTTTATTATTAATTGTATTACCAAATCTTGGCTAAATATTTGACTCTGCTGGAGGCATATTCTATAGATTTGATTGACACTTTGATTTTATGGTGATTAAAGATGTAAATATTGTCCCGCACAAATAAGTGGTAGGAAAAAAAGGGGGGTTATTGCAGGTGCAGAAGTTGTTGGAAAGTCTTTTGCAGCCCAGAATTTTTCTTATTTAAGTCAAATTTTTTGCTTCAAATCATTTGATAACTCAGCAAATATTATAATTAGTTAAAGAAATATCAAAATTGTTGAAATTTTTGGTGACCACTTGCTGCATGTCCTGCAACTCCAGTGGGGTTGTGACCGACACTTTAAGAAACTCTGGTTTAGTTAATAAAACACAATTTGAAATTGCTCTGCCAAAATACTAACTACTGTAGATTTTTCATAATTTTTAGCAGGTTTTAGTTCTGACTGTTATTACTAAAAAATTTTGAATACTATTTAAAGGTCCACTCTGCTATTTTTTTTATAAAGGCTTTTTTTCTATTTTTTTAGGTAAATTTTTTCAAATTTTATATATGATGATTGACTCAAATAGTTATTATTTTTTTATATCTAAACATACATATTAATTATGTGCAAACAAAAGAGAGTTGCTTATGAAATTAGAAAGTGCAAATAATGAATTCACTGAGTATTAAGAAGATCAGAAAAAGATGAGAAGAGGTTTGGATTATTTATAGATTAACATAAAAGGGGAAAACCAAAGATGATTTGGTGTAGTGGTATTGACAGAGAAATCAATGATATTTGTAATTGTTGGAGTGTGATAAAACACTTTTCTAAAAATTTGGTGAATTGGTGAGATATGACTAAGCTCTATATTACTTTTTGGAGTGAAGAGATTTAAAAAGGAAGAAAGAAAAAAAAATTAATATCAAGCTGCCATTTTTCGGTTATTAGTCTTGATGTAATTTTGATTGAAGATATAGTTTTTATAGTGCTTAATAAATATGTCGTTTATTAATTTGGTAGCTTGTATTGAATCATTTTCACAATCTTTTATAAGACTGTGTAAATATAATACTGTGTTTCACAATATAAGACTGTAAAAATTTATTCTGTACTTATTTAGCCATCTGCAAGAAAGCTGTTAGATTTTAATAAAAGTACATCAGGATTTCTCTTCTTTTAGATCACTTCTGAAAGGTGATTGGGCACATGCCATTGACCTGATTTTAACTCCAAAGCCGGAAGGTATTGATTGCATTTAGTAATTTAAAAATTTTTATTACTACATGCACGCATTCATTATTATTGTTATTTGATCTTTATTTGATTTGATTGTTATTTGTCAGATCGTCATGTATCCATGCATCATAAATATATTTATAACATTGTGTTTCTTTATTTGATACAAGTAAAATATTTTCGGACTTTTTGTTAGGTTTATAATAATTTAAAAAGCTTCACAATCATTATATAATAGTGCAGTTGCTGATTTGCATAGTTGTAACATTGCATATTTATCTTTATAGATGTTGACGACTTATCTTCTGCAAAAAAAATTTGGTATGAAACTAAAAATGCTGATAAAGCACTAGAAAATTTAAAACGCAGAAACGGTATTGAGGGCAAACTTTTAAGTGGACTAGCGTGTAATAATAAGAAAGACTTAGTCAATTCATTAAATACTGTAAGTATGTTTTAAATTATATTTTATATTCAATGAATTTCACTTATCAATATATATCTAATTATAAATAATGAGAAATCACAGAAGTTATTAAGATTTATTTTGCCTAAGTTAAAAATCCTTAATTTTGTATCCTCTTGTCTTGTATATAATATATAAGTTATTTTCTTCTAGTTTCTTATCAAATATATGTACTCTTGTGTCTTTATGCTGACTAAGTATAGCAAAACTTTACAATAGGTGTATCTAGGGAAAGTAATGCCTATGGCAAATCTGAAATTGGCACCCTTTGTAAAATATTATGATTTTGTTTAAAGATACCCAATTAGAGCATTATTTGAAGTATGTAATAATCTTAGTTATATTGTAAAAGATCATATTTTATTTAATCAATTAAAAAAAAATTTTTTTTAAGAGAATTATATAGGCTTATGGAATTATGTAGAATTAATTACATTGGTTTGAAAGCTAATTAACTTGAACCTTTAAAAGAGGTTTTGCTTTTTGATTAATCGTAATATGGATTATTTTATTTTATTAATTGCCCATTGAATGGGAAGAAGGCTCCATTTGCCCTATATTTGAGAAAGGAGACTGAATGTGGTAACTATAGGGGTATTACACTCCTCTATACTGCATATAAAATATTCTCCAACTTGCTTTTTGCAAGACTTCTCCCCTTTACCAACAAAATAATTGGTGACTAACAATGTAGTTTTAGATCACAAAGATCTACTATAGATCAAATTCACACTCTAAAACAAATTTTAGAAAAAACTAAGGAATATAATATCAAAACTTTTAATTTATTTATAGACTTTAAAGCTGCTTATGACAGCATAAAGAGAGATAAACTACTGGAAGCAATGGCAGAATTTGCGATCCCTACTAAACTCATTAACTTAACCCGAACTACACTAAGTAATATAAGAAGCAGGGTTAAAATTCAAAATCAATTATCGGAACATTTTTCAACAGAGAGAGGCCTGCGTTAAGGGGATTCCCTCGCCTGTCTACTCTTTAATCTAGTTCTGGAGAAATGTATCAGAGATAGTGAATTAGACCAAAAAGGCACTCTTTGGAATAGATCAGTTCAATTACTGGCATATGCCGATGACATCAATGTCATAGGAAGGTCAGAGAGAGCTGTGAGAGAGGCCTTTCTGGCTCTTGAAACTTCTGCCACAAATATGGGCATTACCATCAATGAAGATAAAACTACATTTATGGAATCTCCAGCCACAACTGTAAATCATGATCCTTTATTCATAAATGGTTACACCATTGAAAAGATCAGTGAATTCAAATACCTTGGAACAATAATCAATGACCAAAACAGCATAAAAACAGAAGTAGACAACATAATTAAAATGGCAAACAAGTGTTTCTTTGGACTAAGAAAGCAATTAAAATCAAGCCTAGTCAGCCGAAAAACTAAAATTAAAATTTATAAGACTGGTATTGTATTCTGGTATTGTATTGGTGTGTATTGTATACTGGTATTCTACCTGCATTGCTCTATGCAAGTGAAATATGGACACTAAATGCAGACACTCAGCGTACTCTTGGTGTTTTTGAGAGGAAAATCCTTAGCAATATTTTTGGCCCAGTACAGGAAAGAGGCTGTTGGCGAATCAGATACAACTTTGAATTATATAGACTCTACGGACAGCCACAGATAGTGCAGGTCATCTGAAGCAATAGATTAAGATGGCTTGGCCATATCTATAGAGGTCCAGAAAATAATGCCGTCCGAATCGCCACCTTTAAAAATCCTTTGGGATCTCAGGCTAGAGGGAGACCTCCAACTAGATGGCTGGATGACACTGCTAAAGATCTAAAAGTATTAAAGATAAACAACTGGAAAAAAGTCGCCATGGACAGGAGGCGTTGGAGGCTACGTGTGGTTGAGGCAGCCAAGGCCTGTAAGGGGCTGTCGTGCTGAAGAAGATATTTTTATTAACAGAAGGGAAGCAACTTTTTTTAGCACTCTTAATAAAATTTTTTAACATTCCTTGCAATAAGCACGAAACTACTAATTACAATATTTTTTCAAGAAATTTTAAAATATTTGAAATTTTAGAACTTGTTTCTTTATGGCTATTGATTTCAATAACACTAAAATTAAAAGAATTTCATAATGCGTAATTAACTCTGTTGTTTTTGACATAGCAATGTCCAAATATAATAATCAAATTTGTCATAAAGATAAGGGCTTGTTGGGATAAAATTTTTAAGCCAAATCAATGATTAAAATTACAACATACATGATCTATTTGTGCATCCAGAAATCTTTTTGGGATAGGGGCAAGCAAATATGCTAATAGCAGAAATTCATAAAAATATTTCAAAAGTTAAGTTCTTTTTTCTTTTTTTTGTGTAATTGGAAATTTTCAAATTGCTGTTCAATATTTTAGTCAATGCTACTAAATCAAAAGTCCTTGGCATGAAGTTTAAGTTTTTAATATTGTCTAAGTTTAAATGGTAGAAAAATAATAAAAATCATAATCCTTTAAACTACATGCAATATAGGCAAAAGAAAAAAAAAACCCATTCTTGCGCTGTTATATTAATATTTTGTTAAATGCAAACTTTTAAGCTGCTCATATCAATCTTTATGTTATAAAATAACTAATCAAAATCATTATCACAAAATGAAAAGCTTGTGGTTAAAATTTGAAAAAAGTAACATTTAAGAACCAAATATAGTTTTTTATTTATTAGATTTAAAGGTGAGAGGGGGGCGAATGCTTTCTTTTAACCCTACCTACTATTGCAGTAACAATTAACTGTATTTTATCATAGCTGTCGGATTTAAACAAATTAGTATGATTCAATGCATTAATTTAAATATTTAGAAAATGATCCTCACAATCAATGAAGATCATTATCATTTTATTAGATGAAATAAAATTCGGTGTTTTCTTTCAAAATTGCAAAGACAGAAACTATTTTTCTAACTGATCATCTTTCATTGATTTTAATTAATTTTTTAAAATTTTATTGAAGAGAGTGTATTCAATTTTAAATAATTTGATTGGTTTAAATTAGTTGTCATGCAAGGCAAAGGTACTTTCTTTTGCTAGTATGTATTACAATTAATCGCTCTTTGAATTCCTTGCCCTGTGTGGCAAAACTCTTTTTCTGTGGAGGAATGCGTGTTTTCTTCTTTATTATCACCAATTTAGAACAGGGTAAGATCTATTCCACAGATTCAGAGAACATTTTTAAAAGAGATTTTTGCAGCTGATTAAATTGAAATTAAAGGAGCATATCTAAAGATAATAACAGCTTGACTTAGGCCTTCGCACTTTCAAGTTATATTCTCAGAAAAGCTACCTTCTCTGCCCTGTGAAGGGGTTCAACTCTCCCCTGAGCCAGTTAACTATTTTTAAGTTAAGCGCACCTCTTGTAATAGGAGATGAAAATGCTGTGTAATTTGTGTGGCATAAAGTAGGAGGAAATTGATCGGCCTTGACTTTAAGCATTAATATACTGAAAAGGAAGATGGAGATTAGCCTGAGAAAAAACATTTGAGAGTGCGCTCTGTGGTAGATATTCATTTTTATTGTAAGAAAAATACATTGCTTACCGGTAAAAGATGAACAAAAGTAAAATTTTTCGATGATTCATAAAAAAATTAGCAACAACAAAAATTAATAAATAAAATAAAATGGAAAAAAAATTTTTGATTTAGGAACTTTTTTCAGATACTGTACCTGTGGCAAAAGCTATAGTTGCCTTACCTTAGATACACCAATGAGCTCTACATTCGTATGTTTATAAGAAATTGGTCAAAGTGGCCTATTTAATTTTAATTAATATCATGTTTTGAAGGCTCTGTCAACATTGAAATAACACCTTTTAGCAATTAATGTGTTATATTTATTATTTGTGTGACCCTGTGACTTTTCATGACTTTTAGGTTACATTTTATCCATGTTCAGCTAGCACTCTTTGCTAATTATGAAAATGGAGAAAAATGGCAATTTGGAGAAATATCACAGTCTTCTGAAAGTGAAAAGCATTTGTAATTTACTTTTTCAATATTTGAAATCCCACTTTTACAGCTTTAAACAAATAGGCAAAAATTTAAAATTTTTATTGTTTTCATTAGGACGAAAAATTCCCTTGATTGTTAGGTTGTGTTTCGCCTATCTTTAGCCAGCACTATGTATACTAATTATGAAAATTGCAATACAAGGAAAAACCTTAGTCTTGTGAAAATGTAGAGCATTTGTGATCTACTTTTTCATTATTTGTATTGCTACTTTTACACCAATTGTCTTTGAAAAAAATAAGGAAAAACAGGAATTTAATTATTTTCTCTTTGGTGGAAAATCTATGAATAGGTTATGTTTTGCTTATCTTTAGTGAGTACTCTGTATACTAATTTTGAAAATGGCGCAAAAATGGCAATATGAAGAAAAGCCACAGTCCTGTGAAAATGAAAGGAATGTGTGATCTAGTTTTCCAGTCTTTGAAATTCTACTTCTACACTGAATATTCTCTATAAAATAGGCAAAAATTGAGTATTTTAACTCTTTTTGCGTAGGAAGAAAATTATCCATGGAGAAAAATTATTCATAGATAAAATATATTAGGTTATGTTTTACTTATCCTATATTTTGCCTTTGAAATGCTTCTTCTACACTAAATTGTTTAAGTTCTGAAAAACAGAAAATTGAGAATTTAAATTATTTTTTTCCTTGGGACAAAAATCTTACCAAATTGGCAATTTTTAAAAAACTTTAGTGATTGTTCAAATATTTCAGCTATTTGTTAGTTTTAAAGTCCAGAATAATATTTTCAACAAGTTAGTATGTATTAAAAATCAAGCTTTGTTTTAATTTGAAACCCCTGTTACTTTGAGTGTTTCATTGTAATCATTAAAATATGTTTTTGTATATTACATGCACATGTGTGGCATACTTTAGTTAGAATACATTTTGATAATGAATAGAACTATTTGCACCTCTGTGGATAATGCAATTATTTCATGAAAATATATTTATTGTGTTTTCAAAATTTATAACTTACTTCTTGTTTGCAGGTTCCTCGGAATATGCGTTTGATGTACATACACAGCTATCAAAGTTTTATTTGGAATAAAGTTGTTTCTAAACGAATACAAACTCACGGACTTCAAGTTTTAAAAGGAGATTTAATATCAAAAGAATCTGATGGTATGTCAAAATTATTTAACATCATACTTTGTAATTAATAATATTTTTAATGTTATTCTGGAAATTTAAATGTGATGTTATCTATTTTTTTTATTCATAATAAATTTATGGAATAAATGTATAAAATAAGTTACAGCTTTTTTTTCCAAAAAAATAAAGTTAAAAATTTTTTTTTTATTAAAGTTCTATGGATTTAATATCAAAACTATTGTTATTTATCATTTGGAAGAATGAATGAAGAATTGTCATACTTATGATTTTTTAATGATTGGTTCTTTTCGTTATTCTGTCTTCAATAAATATTTTAATTGTGCTGTCTCTATAGTAGAATCCTTATGAGACAATTTATGTTATACATTTTATTGGTTTCTGCATCATTGAAATATTTAAATCATTAATAGATTATTTTGTTTAATTTTTTTCTCATTAAAGTTATTAAAAAGTCCAAGATTTTTTTGGATTTAATTTTGTAATTATTTTGTTTATGAAAAACTGTTTGAAACTGGAGATAAAAAAATTTGACTAATTCCAACTTTAGTTATTTAGAAATTAAGTCTTATATGTTAATCGAAAAAATAGTCTTTGATCTTAAATTAATAATTATAGTTATGTGAAAGAAATATTGCTCAAACAAATATTTAAATAAGTTATCCCAAAATTAATTTATTGTATTTTAATTTTTTTGAATAAGGTGTTGAAAAAGAACTCAGAACATTTTTGAAACTGTTGAAAAATGGCATTAAGAAATGAATTATTAACAATGTTATGATTCCCGAATATCAAAACCAAGTATATTTATCAAAATTAAATTGTATAAATTATATAAATTAATAAGACAAATACCTTTAACATATAATTTTGTATAGTTCATGAATATTCTATGAAAAATCTTTTTTTAATAAGATGTTTACGTATGCGCAATTGTGTGTATGTGATATTAATAAATAGCTTTTATACAATTTCAGTATTTGTTGTATTCGTATAAATGAATTTTTTTAAAGTTTATTTCTTCAACTGTTATTTTATATGTAAAATACTTTTGTCACTGTAGCTTTAACTCTAATTGTATATTAAAAATAGAAATGTATCCCTTAAATTTAAAATTTAGTATCCCTTAAATTTAAAATTTAGTATCCCTTAAATTTAAAATTTACTCTAAATACAAGTACAGAGTTGAACTTTAAAAAAATCTATAGTCAGTGTTGAAATGTGCATAGAAAGTTTACTTATAATTTTAAACTTGTGCTGTTGTGCTAAATTGGGAAACCGTTTATAAATTTAAAAAGCTTTAGTTGAAAACTTTAAATATTTACTTAATGCATTATGCTCTTATTAAGGGCACATGGTAAGTGCATCATGAGTTCTTGAAAATTTGTATAAATTTATATTAATTATTTTTATTAAAATCTTATAATTATAATATAGCAATATCTTATAATATAGCAAAGCATTTTTATATACATATAAAGTATTTTTATAAAAATGCAGCCTTTTTATATTTACATCAAATTAAAAAGTAATTTTTATGTAAGAATATGTTTAGGAATGAATTGTAGGAGTATGTTTAGGTCTTTCTTACAATTTTAGATATTTCTAGTATTTTAAATAAGCCAGAAATATACACTATGCAATTTTTTATTAATAATTTCATTTAAGATTTAACCGCATTGAACAATTACTGTGGAAAATATTGTAGACAAAAATTACTAATACAGTACAGAAACTGTTATCCGGAAATCAGAATACCAGAAAACCGGAATGAAATTCAATACATTTTCCTGCCATTTAAAAAAAAAATTTCCCTCAAAAGATTTCAGAATTCTTCTTTCTTTTTTAAAAGATGTTTACCATAATTTTAGAAATAATCATTAGTTCCCTACACTGTCAAAAGAAGTAAGAGTTTTTTTAAAATTATTCTGAATATATATATATTTTTTTAGTTGAGTTTGACAATAAGAAAAACGGCTTTTTGTAGCGATTCAGATAACCGGAAAAATCAGTTATCCGGAATAGCCATGGTCCCGATCATACCAGATAATCGGTTCTCTATTGTACAATATTACGTATTAGATTGAAATAATTATGAATCAGTAAATAATGTATGTATTATAATTTTTCTTTTAAATTTTATATTTTACTTTTCATTATTTTATTTTATAATTTTGTTTTAATAATTCATCCTTTTTTTAATCAATACTTAAAGTTCCTGAGGATAGTTTGCTGCTTAATAAGGAGGATAATAGGAAAGCTGTTCTTTCTAACATGGTTAAATTTGTGACAGATCAAGATATTGGAAATGCTAATATTACCGATGTACTACTACCTCTTCCTGGGCACAGTGTAACTTTACCAAATAATGAAAGTGAGTAATGTTAACACAATTCAGAAAATAAAGTACAGAACACCTTAATAACTTTTGATTTAGTATTAGGTTTTCTTATACAAAGATGCAATTGTAATGATGCAATGTTCTTATTTTAAACAGGCTAGATAGTTAGTACAGGCAATATTTGAAGTTATGAAATGGGACACAATGTATTTTATATGAATATTTATGTTCTTTTTTGGACTGATTCAAATTCTTTGTTGTTTTTGGATTCATTGATCAGATAAAAAAATTATTAAGGTCTTCATATTTTTGTGCAGTTACAATTAATTTTAAATTTTATGTACCTATTTATAATTTCAGTTTGCAGCTATGTTTTTGTTTCTTTTTTTTTTTCAAATTTACTATGTACAGAAATTGCCCTTTTCTAAATTCTTCCATTATTATAATAGTTTTATACCCATGTTCAGATTATAATTTTATAAAAAATGCAAGTAACAATACGAAATCAGTAAAAAACATTTTGTTTGGGAGGCACAGATAAAAAAAATTTCAATTGCCTGTTAAAACTAGTTTGATGTGTTGTCTGCAAAGCAGATAATGTTACATACTTTTTGAAATGTTCCATTAATATTAGTTTTTACTGAGGAACTAGTTTTTCTGAGATAAAAATTTAAGTTTTTAGTAATCTTTTTCTGATTCAGATTATTTATGATCTATGTAATGCATATATAGTAGGGTTATAAAGCTTAATTTGAAAGAGGACTGTCGAAAAAAATTAGCTTTTGAGGGCAGCAATAACTTTATTTTTTATGTCAATTTACAGTGATTTATTAGCGAAAAAGAATGGAAAAAAAAAAAAAACAGGGCAAATTATATACAATTGCAAATTTTACAAAGTATATGATTAATATTTTCCAATTAAAATGCTTTTAAGCTTTGCATCTCTAATTTTAAATAAATCTTAGAACTTCATTTGTTTTGAACATATTTTAGTTAAAAGAAAATTTTCTTAAATAAAGAAGGAAAAAATAGTAATTGCATTATCCAAAAATCTTTTGATATTTTGATTTGGTACATCTGCATTTTTGAATTTCAATGTTATAATGTCAGTTTTTTCCATGCTTATTCGAATTAGTTTCCGAAGTATTTGTAAAACTTTTTTAGAAACAAGGATTCTTTCTATGTAGGTTTTTGTAATAAATTTTTTATTGACATCCCGGGATGCACTTTAACCTTTCATAGGTGGCAGGTTGGTCACCTCTATATAAAGTATTCTCTATCTATGGAATAATGGGTTTATTTTCATAATACTAGTGCACCACTTACTTTCTGGTTCCTAACATCTGAAAGTTTCAAGTATCTTTCTATCCATATATACAGGGTGATTCTAAAAAGATGGGCAAAATTTTAGGAAGTGATAGTACACACCCAAGCAAACAATTTTTATCAGAGAATGCATGGTCGAAAAAAAAAATGCAAAGGTGCTGGCGCATTTGGAAAATTGTTTGATGCAAATGTGAAAGCTCCATTCCTGTTGCGAGTTACTGCGCTGCGTTACTTGTCGCCAAGTTTTCGGCCGCTGCAGGGAAAGTTCGTGATATGCCTGGTGTGTTTCAGAATGTTCACCTAACTTTTCTTCGCCGTTGTATTGCTTGCATAACCATTGCTAGCCACTGTTTTGAACACTTATTTTAATCACATGCCATTAAATTTGCTTTAATAAATTAACTTCATCGTTCTTTGTGTGTTTTTGCCTCATATAAGAGCATAAACTTTGACTCGCTCTTGCAGTTATGCGGTTTGTTTTCGACCATGCATTCTTTGATAAAAATTGTTTGCTTGGCTGTGTACTATCACTTCCTAAAATTTTGCCCATCTTTTTAGAATCACCCTGTATATATATATATCATAATAAATAAATACAAAAAGGAAAAAAAAATGAAGAAAATTAAGAAAAACAATGATAAGTTTTATTTATTGCGCATAAGTTGCAAGTAAATGGAACTCATAAAATAAGTTCAAAATGTAGAGAAAACATGGAAAGAATTACAGAACAATAGAACAATGAAAAAGTGGGGGGGGGGAGAAAAATAATATAAATAACAAAAAACTGGAAAGAAAAAAAATTCAAAAAAAGGGAAAAAATGAATAAAAATACTGAAAAATAGAAGATATAATCTTTTTATCAGCTCACACGATTATATCAGCAAAAAGGAGTGCTCTCTAATATTGTATCAATATAGCCAAAGCAAAATATATCAATAGAATAGTGTGAGAAGCCAAAAAATTAATATATATATATATATATATATATTACNCTTATATCTTTATATATAAGAAGAGAGTGGAATGATAACACATAGCCAATTACAGAAGACTTCGGGTTAGTAACGCACGGCGCAGCCAATCAAAATTAAGAACGGTAATAATTTTTAATAATGCTGCCTACAGAAATGTTGCAACTAAACTTACCAGCTAAAGCTTGTTGCGATTTTTATTTGTATCGAAAGTGTGAAATATATTGATAAGAGTTTACTTTAAAATACTCATATCTTTGCTACATAAAATGGATCGCCATGAATATCTTTTACTTACTTTTAATAGTTTTTAACTTACTTTCAAAATCTTGTTCAACCAGAAATATTAATTAGCAGTCCATATTTGCTTGAGATATTTCATAAATAATGCATAAAAGTGCAAATCATTCGTACACAAAATGATGCAACAAAAAAAAAAAATCAGTGACAAATGTACATAGCTAGGTTTTGGGAATATTCAGAGATCTATTGTAAATAGTTTTTAATTTTATTGTTTTCACCTTATTTTTTTATAACAATTCTGACAAAAATGTTTATTGATGATTGATAACGTAATTATTTCACTTTATTTTTGTGTTTTTCTTAGTATTCAGTATGACAAAAAAAATGGTTTAAATATACTTGAGGGTGCTCCTTGGCAAAATTGGCGACTTATGTTTGACGCCATTCCTGTTTGCGGGGAACACAGTGATAACAGAAATGTCTGCCAAAACATAATGTAATTTCAATAAAACATTGGAAAATTTTAACAAAACATCGGCCAAAACTTTATAAAACGGCAATGAATCCAGTGTAAGCAAAATTAATAAGCCCAATAAAATGCATTTTGAATCCAAACGAAAATTAATGGAGTAAGCACAGAAAGAAAAGGAAAAAAACAACTCACTTCTTCATTCAGCTTGAATATCCTGAGATTTAGGCGCACAGAATTCTCTAATGGCAGTTAGATACTGTCTAAATTTATCATGAATAGAATAGACATTTATCATGTGTACCTCCAGTGCCACATAAATTCGGTGAAATACGAATTAAAAAAGCGGTGACAATTTTTCTATAGTCCCTTTTTATGACTGCCCATATACCTTCGATCTTATTGACCAGAAGCAAAAGTAGCCTTACCAGCCGGTATCCAACGTAGAACTAAAGGATCTCTGAGATTTCATATACCATTGAACACTTAAAACTAGCGCTAATCAGAATCACGATTGGGTTTCAACATCATCTTCCAGCTTGGCGATCAACCTCAATCACAACTTGTCGAGAATCAAGGGGCATCCTCAAATATAGTCTACCCAAAAAATTAAATTGCTTAATTTAATTTGTCGAATTTCAGTTACATATGTTTTTATTATATAATTTGCTTTTTGTCTGATAGAAACTAAAATATTTTGTCAGTCAACAGTATTGAAGTTAATTGGGCAATTACTCGCAATGGTACATATTTGCTTTTGAAATATTACTTAGCATCAACTTATAATTATTACTTGTTTTAATTTGTTTGCCATATTTTAAAGTTTTTTCATCAGGTTTTAATTGTTTTCAGTTTAGAATTTAAATTACTGAGGGGGGGGGGAGGAAGATATGAAGCACCATATAGGGAGCGTCCGGCATCCTATAAGATCAACAATGATTTGAGTTAAGCTCTGCCATGCGTGCTTCGGATACAGAGATTAATCTCCGGCTAATGCCCTATAGTAATGTGTTAAATAATTTTGCTTCCTCGCTTTATGTAAGTTTATAATATTGTTTGTACTAAAATTGCTTTATATAAGTTTATAATGCTGATAATAAGCACCTCTGACACTTTACAATCCTATCATATTCTCTCTATGTGATGTTGGTGCAGAAAAATTGGCAGCTAATCTCCAGGAAAACAACTTTAAGATTGTTCGCAAAGTGAACAAAAAATAATTGCGTAGCAATTATCGGGGGTTGGGGAGCGAATGTGAGCAGGGGGCGGAGCCCTCTCTCTCTCTAAATATATATATATATGTTTAATATTTTTATTTTAATAAACATGCTCTCTTGTTTTGTATATTTGTTTTATTCTATATGCATTATGCAATTAAATAATATATTTTAATAATGCAGGATTACTTAAAACTTTTAAATTGTATTATTGTTCTTTTCTCTTGTATTTGTGTATTATTACTCCTCAAATTATTATTTCTTTTTAACTTCAGTTTAACATTTCTAAATATTTCACTCTCCGTTTTTTTTCAAGCAAGCAATATACTGTAAGATCCTATTTTATAAACATATATATTTTTTGATTTATTGTTATTGTTCCATATAGCTGGAAAATGGTATGAAGAGGCTTTGCGGGAAGATGGAATGAGTTTTGACAATTTCAAATCCAAAACAAAGTAATTATATATTCAGCTTCAATTTACTTTTATTTTAATTCATTGTAATGAGCAGCTTTTGTTGTGCACTAGGTGTGACAAGTAGTTAACCAGACTAGTCTTAAGATTAGCCTCATTGAAAATATTATGCAAATACTTTTTATACCCCTTAAATACACTCTCCTTTTCTGTCAATGCATTGCTGCATCTGAGTTATTCACAGTTCAAGGAAATGCTGCAGGTCATTAAATGTCGCTTTCTGCAGTAAATCTGCTGATTTCCTTTACCTTTTCCACAGACTAAAGACACGCTTCCTTGAATGCACTTTTGGGAACATGTAATATATCCATAACGTTGGGATCTGGTGAGTACAATGAATTCTCAAGCACAGTAATGCGTTATCCACAAAGAACTGTTTCACAGGGATCCTATTGTGAGATTAGTGGTTGTCTTGGTACAAAATACACGTCTTTTTCTAAGCTTTCTTAGGACCTCGATGTAATACTTCTGTTATACCTTTTGGCCTTGAACTGCCCATTCAATCATAGTGATAACAGTGATATAATATCAATCATAGGGATATGATATAAAAAAAAATATGAGCATGACCTTCAATTTTGGATTACTCATTTGAGCTATTTTGGCCCTTAGTGATGTAGGGTCTTCAAGTGCATAAACTGTTGTTTAGTTTCGAGTCGAACTGAAAATTCCACGTTTCTTCATGTGAAATATTTTTCAATCAGTTCACTATCTTCTGTAAAGTGTTGCATGATGCAAGAGCAAATGTTTTCCCTGTTCATTTTTTGCCCACATATCAAGTTTTACGATACCAGTTTTGTGTAAATTTGGGTCATGTGCTACTCTTGAGAAAATTTTTTCTTGTTGTCTCTCTGTCGATGTTCGCGATTATCTGACTTAATTCAAACACTGATTTGCTTATCTGTCTGACTTGATCTGCTTGCCCCTGCGAGTACACCTGACTAATTTCATCTGGTTTTATTTTTTAAACTTTCGGCTTTTTGGTTTTCTGGTTTTAAATATTTGCTTTTAATATTTTACCTCGGCACTTACCGTTTCCATGACTTTGTTCTCCCCTTGAACTGGCATCTTCATTATTCATAGGACATTCGAAATGAAATCTTGCTCTTGGTCAACTTCAGCACCCTCTGTCTTACCTGGTGTCATCTTTTAGTGTTTATCCTTTTGGTGAAACTTTGGTTTACCTTAAAACATTTTTAATCTTAGAGGCACTTAGCCTTGAAAGGGAGCCACTTGAACTTTTAGTCGACTATTTTAATTCTTCTATTAATCTTATTTTAGTCTTATTTGTTTTTAATGTGGTTTTTCATATTTTACCATTTGATGTTTTACCTGACCTTTTATATGTTTTTACCTGTATTTTTGACACTTTTATTGTTGGTTGATTTTATCCACTTTGATGTTTTAAGCACTTTTAAATTTTATTCTGTTTTGTTTTTATTTTATTTTTTTGATTTTGGTATTTTTCCTATGTGTTTCAATCTTTTTAATTTTGTACTTTTACTTTTCTGTAGTTTTGTAGTGTTTAGATCACGTGCAAACGGGTGAAACCCTTATCCGCAAACTCCTTCGGGGGTAGGTCGGTTACTATTCATCTTAATTCAAATACTCATAGGTTGTCTTCATGCAAGATTTCCTAACCTTTTCAATGTTTTCATCATTTCTTGAAGTCATGGTCGACCAGAAAATTGGTCATTTTCAACAAAATTGACCGATATTCTGAATTTTGTTTGTACTACTAAACATTTGGACGCCCACATGAGTGGTAGGCTTCGCGCTGTCGTGCCACATCTCCTTGGTTTGATCCTCAGGCCGGGTAACATTGACTCAGCCTTTCATCCTTTCGATAAATGAAGTCGATAAATGAGTACCAAGCATGCTTGGGAACTAAATACTGGGGGTTCCGCGTTCGGCTGACCACCCAACCGGGACATCTGCTTTTGCATTCCAGATCACAAAGGTCAAGAAAACTGAGATGGGCACAGTAGACCTTGGCCCTCTATAGGCTGTCGCGCCACTGAGTTTAGTTTATTAAACATTTGACTATGTGACAAGCAATTATCTCCAAAGATCTCCCTTAAAATTTTAAAACTTTTAGTAGGAGTTTTTATTAATTTCATGAAATATTTCAAGTTAGCACTCTTCTTGATGTTTAAGCTTATCATTTTTGCGAAACTTCGTCACAACCTCTTACTCAAACAAGGATAAAAAGCCAATTAAATTAGACAGAGAGTAAGAATAAAGTGCTATATGTACTGAAACCAACAAGGTTAAAAGAGATAATGGAGTAGTGCAAAAAATTCCTTACTTTTATTATTTAGTTTAACTGTTTCTTAAAAAGTTTACAAAGTTTAGTTTACTGTTTTTTGAAAAATAAATTTGGAGTATGTTAAAAAACTATTTCTCCTTGCTTATAACTGCATTAATACCTTTGCCTAACTCTTGTTTTCCTTGTGGTAAATTAAAAGTGCATGTATAAGATAAATAAATAAATAAACTGTAATCACTTTGAAAAGACTTTAGATAGAGCAAGACAGTTTAATCTCAAAGTCATTATATTTTCTTTCTTTGTATAAGGTAGGGTATTATTGCTATCTTCTGGAGAGATTTTTCGCAGTACCTATTCTAAGCCTAGTATATTTTACATAATTGAAAACAAAAACACCTGCCTTTAAATGCCCCAATGTTGTAGATGTTAAATTTTTTTTGTATAATCGTTTTAAACTATTTAAAATTAAGAAGAAAGAGAATTAAATTGCTTATGTTATAATATTTAGTTATATATTTCATACCTGTATAAGTCACTATTTTTCCACAAATTGACAAGCAGAAAGACAGATTTATTATTCTATTATGTTTTGAGAAATTTTTTTTTGTGATATTATACTAATTAAATAAAAACAAAAAAAAAAACTAATCCTTTAAATTGAATAGCTTATAAATTGAATCAACCTGTCTAAATGTAATATTAATGTAGTAACAAGATGACAAATACATTTTCATCTTGTACCAGGTTGTGATGGAGGTGGCCAGATTTAGATTGTAGGCTAAACTTGACTTTTTCTGTTCTCCTTTTTATTGTTTTAATATTTTTGCCACTTTTGTGTTCTACTAAACAGGATGTGATTACTGTGCACATTGATGAATGCTCCACTTCATCTCATTTTAATTGTTGTGTGGAAAAGTAGAGGAAAGAGCACTTCTGAATGACCCAGTGTCCAACAGGATAACATGGAACATTTGATAAATAAATAAATTAATGTCAAATACGACCCTTAAAAAAATTTTTAAAAAAATTACTGTATATATTGATGTATAAATTGACTTTCCAAACCTCTAAAATTTTACGAAAATCATTCTTTGACTTACGCCCATTACCCCACCTTTCAGGATACACCCGTAAAAAAGTAAATCATTTGTTGATTGTAAAATATCGATGCCTTTTAAACAGTGAGAAAGATATGAATAACTCTGTATCTATTTACCCCTTTTATTAACTATTTTAACATGCTATTTACAGTTAATTTTGCATTTTCTTTCATTATACAGTCAGACCTCGATATAAGGTCACTTTTCCGAAGTCCCGGCTCACTGAATAGGAATTCTTCACTACAGATTATCGGATATATGGTCAAGTTTCAAAAATCGCTATCGCTTATAAGGTCATTTTTATCTGAGGCGAGGGAAGCTTTTTTTTAGCAAAAGCCTATTTAACTTCTATACAAGGCAATTACTCCTCTCGAGTTGTAGGAAAATGTTGCAGCCAACGAACAAGCTACAATTTCTGAAATTGTTTCACAAGTTGTGAACAGTGAGGACAATGACAGTGGTCCTGAGACTGTAGCTGTAACCCAAGTGGAAGTCTTCAATGCAATAAATGTCAGAGGAAATTTTTTTACAAATTTTTTTACAAGGGGGCTGAGGAACATTTTGAGAAGTTACAAAATCTGTAAAACATTGTTAGAAAAATGAGACCAAAATCGAGACAGACCTGCATAAATGATTATTTTAAATAAGGTAAGATGCAATGAATGTATGTACACTTTGAGGAAATTTGTAAACAGCTTCATTTTAAATTAAATTTTTTTTAAAAATCTAACTTTCTTTAATTCTTTACTAATTCTGTTAAAATTTATTGACTTAAATATTTAATTTGTGGCTGATCGTTTCCGTTCGTATTACCATTTTTAAAATATCCTAATGTGTATTACTTACGTGCTTAATTACGAACTGCTAATGAATCGGTTAAAAGGTCACCCCGCTTATAAGGTCACTTTTGCAATGTCCCTTAGGGTGACCTTATATTATTATATTATCTGACTGTACAATCTGACCTTGATATAATGTCACCCTAAGGGACATCGCACAAGTGACCTTATAAGCGGGGTGACCTTTTAACCGACTCATTAGCAGTTCATAACTAAGCACGTAAATAGTACACATTATGATTTTTTTTAAATGGTAATGCAAACGAAAATGATCGCCTATAAATTAAATGTTTAAGTCAATAAATTTTAACAGAATTAGTAAAGAATTAAAGAAAGTTGGATTTTTAAAAATTTTTTTAATTTAAAATAAAGCTGTTTACAAATTTCCTCAAAGTGTACATACATACATTACATCTTCCCTTATTTAAAATAAATCATTTATGCAGGTCTGTCTCGTTTTTGGTTTCATTTTTCGAACAATGTTTTCTAGATTTTGTAATTTCTCAAAATATTCCTCAGCTCCCTCATTGTTTGTAAAAGAATTGCGCATGACATTTATTGCATTGAAGGCTTTCACTTGGGTTATAGCTACAGTCTCAGGATCACTGTGAAACAATTTCAAAAATTGTAGCTTGTTCGTTGGTTGCAACATTTTCCTAGAACTCGAGAGGGGTATTTGCCTTGTAAAGAAGTTAAATAGGCTTTTGTTAGAAAAGAGCTCCCCTTGCCTCAGATTAAAATGACCTTATAAGCGATAACAATTTTTAAAACTTGACCATATATCCGATAATCTGTAACATAGAATTCCTATTCAGTGAGCCAGGACTTTGGAAAAGTGACCTTATGTCGATGATTGACTGTATTTTCTTTACAAAAAAAGTTTTTTTGGAAACACTTTAAATCATATTCAGAAAAAAACATTAAGAATAAGAAAAGCTAAGATAATTTATTCGAGATACTTTACTTAAGATTATTTATTTATTTCAATATATTTAGTATATAGACAACTTTTATAACATACCATAATGCTACAAATTCAAAGCTTCCGGAACATCATCTGTGTCGAATTCAATAATGTTATGCATCTTTGTTTGAGGACTAGTGTATGATATCCAGAGAGAACAATGTGAAATATTTTTAACTTGAAAAAGTTTGCAAACTTAAGATTTTTTATGTCTAGTTTTTTCAGCAGTCTAATTTACATGAGTGCCACTCTTCAGTCCTGAAGACTGAAACTGGTCTTGAGAAAAAGAATTATGTGGACTGAATCCTGTCCTCCAATTAATGCTTCTTTCTAGTTTTTTTAAAAAAATATTTTTCAAAAAATAAAATAAAAAATAATGATAAATAAATAAATTTTCCAGTTATGTTTTTTTTTAAAAATATTTTTTATTGAATATAAAAAATATTTTGTTACAAAAATTATTGCTTTTTAAGGTTTATATCTTTGTTATTTCTATATTTATTATGAATGATTGAATATGGATGTCGCAATAAAAGAATGAATCAAATAAACTGCTTAATTTTGCATTTATATTTCTCTTGTATTTTTAAATGCTGGGCAGAGTCAAGGAAAGATTTTTTAAAAATTAAATTTACGGAGTGAGGACAAAAAATTACTGAGGGGGAAGAGAAAATTATGTGTAGATATAAATTGCTACAAGAAAAAGTTGAAGGTGTATATTTCAGCTGTTGGTGTAAAAAGATGTACAATAGATTTTTTAAAAATTAAATTTACGGAGTGAGGACAAAAAATTACTGAGGGGGAAGAGAAAATTACGTGGAGATATAAATTGCTACAAGAAAAAGTTGAAGGTGTATATTTCAGCTGTTGGTGTAAAAAGATGTACAAGAGAGTCATTTTTATTTTGTTTGTTTTAAAAAAAAATGTTTATTTTTTAAAATTTTTTTTTTGCAAAAATAGTCAAGTCAATATGTAGACCATTATCATGGAAAAGTACATTTTTGCAATCAGTGAGCTGTAAAATTCTGGTAAACAATTCTAGACCATGATAATAGGTTGAAAAAAATCTCAATCAGTCTTAAAATTTTTTTAGAGTGGCACTCTTGTACATCCAACATACCAGAAATTTGTTATCTTGTGATCAAAAATAGAGGGTCTACGTATAAAAAAGCGGCTGACTTATACAATTAGATGTATGGTAAATGTTTGAGGAACAAAATGATAAATTGTAAATAAAGTTCTTAAAAACTTTACAATATTATTGCAGTAGCATTAGCTTTCTGTCTCAATATCCATTCATATTTATTGTAAATTAGCTATAAAGATAAAATATTTTCCTTAGTTTATTTTTTTAATAATTTTGATAGTACTTTAATGTTTTGTTCATTTATGTGAATTTTATCAACTGTTCAATAATATATTTGCAATATTCCAGGTCATATTCTTTGAGTGGAGACTATCGTAAAATCATTGTTATTCCTGAAGAGGTTAAGTGGGAGATAATTCATTATAATGACAACACAATACCATTATCTTTGAGTGATTTAGATGTGCTGAATGGTATAACTTTGCCAGATTTTCCAAGCAGTAAGTTGTCCTCAATAATTTTAAGGATATATAGTTTTTTTTAGTATAAAAAAATATACAGTCAACGAATCATTTCAAGTTTCAGGTAGGATTTCAGTCTGTGAAGATGAAACATAATCCAAGTTTGTATGTTACACAGTAATGCCACTGTGGCTCCTTAATGGTTCATTAAGGAGCTGCGGTGGCTCAGGGAATAGAGCGCTCGCCTCCCACTAAGGTGACCCAGGTTCGATCTGGTTGATTTGAATTTTGCTTCTGTCTCATATCGACCTCAGTGCTGGTATTAAATATCCTCAGTGGTAGATGGATCTTGTGTTATGGTTAGTCTATCAAAAAGTCTAGTTTGTCCCTATACTTGATCCAGGAGTTCCCTGCTCTTCTGGGCTGGGTTCAAAATTACAAGGCTTCTGAGTTGAACATTGATAGTTGCAAACTCAAAATTGGATCGGCTGTTCATTATCAACAAAAAAATGGTTCATTAGAAGAATGTTTCATCAGATATTGGTAGCTGTTACTTCATATAAAAATATCAAGTTCATGCTAATTTATAAAAAGATGAGGCAGTTGAAATTTTAAAAATTATGTTTCTATTCTTGAAAATAATAAGACATCTTAGAGCTCCATTAAAAAAAAAAAGAAATTGTTCCTGCATTGTTATTATTATTTGGAAAACTGATGAAGGATTTGTTATCAAAACAAATTTTTGGAATACAAATTTATAAAAAGGAATGCATCTAAATAATGCATATTATCTTGGCATCAATCATAAAGGGTAGTGTCATGTAGTAGTTGTAAAATACTTCTCTAAGAATAAGTAAATAATTCATTATTGGCTATGCAGCCATTTATCTTTGCCAATATTGTAATTCTCATTTAATATAAGGTTTTGAAATTTAAACTGTTTGCTTTTAAGAACTAATAACAAGCAATTCTACAAGCCAAAACATTACAATTAATTATATCCTTGGGCAGTAAAATAGGTAACAATTTGTCAAAACACAAATTTTGCTTTGAAAACAAAATTTGAAAACTCTCCGAAAATTAACAGTTTGTCTGTCATTTAACAACCTGTAAACTTTAATAAAATAATATTTAAAACTAGGGATTTACTACCTGCAGCTTTAAGGCAAAATATGGCTTTATGTAGCCTTTGAGTTATTATTTAAAACAGTAATTTTAAAGTTTTGTATTAAAATTTAATCAATATATTTTTTGCTGATGAATTCATATTTGTTTTAACTCTTATTTTATTTCTACCTGATTGTTTTAAATATTCAAATTATAGACTTTTTAGTATAAATTAAAAAAAAAAAGCTAGTATTGTTGGTACAAAATGAATACAGCAATTTTAAATAAAGCATATAATAATTCGAGAAATTTTTTTTCTCCATAGAATAATACATAAATTTGTTTTACTGCAAGATAATTTACTTTGTTTATTTAAATGAAGGATCCTTTTAAGTTTGATAATTTGTATTTAATAATTGGAATTAACTTTTTTATGTATATATATTTCATAGATTCTTATTTGTTAATTAATTTTATCACTATTTTTCTGTGCTATATGTATTGCTTTTGTTTTCTATTTTTTTTTCTTGGTGAATATTTTTTTAATATAATATTTAAAAGTGAGTCTTTTAATTCTAGGTGGTTTGCATAAAGCTTTGAAAGTTGAATTCAACCTGCCTTCCTCCTCTTATGCTACTATGGCATTGCGAGAAATACAAAAGAGCAGTTGATGTATAACTAAGATGTGAAATTTCAATAAATTTTTATTATTTTATCATCACGTGTGTTTTAAATTTTTAACGAAATACTGGGTAAAAAGAGAAAAAAAAAGAATGCTTTGACATATAAGGTTTTCTTAGAAAATAAAAATACTTCACTGATAACATCAAAGGGAAAGTTTTTGTGAGTTAGCTGGTACCACAGGCCATAACCTTTCACATTTAGTTTTTCCCTCGAGGTCATTCGTTATATTTATGATGAGTATCTTTATAATCTCTGCATCAATTCGAAATCCCACCAAATGTAAAGTGTATTCTGTAATACACTTTCTTCATGAAAAAGGTATATAAAAGGCATATAATTCAAAACAAACAGAGGGGCTTCCTTAGAAGTGGAGTTTGCTTGTTGCATGACAACTAGCTTGTTGCATGATCTTTACATAGCGCTTCAAACCATATCACTTGAAAGTTTAAAATGAAAAATTTTAGATATTCATCAAACAGCCTGGTCCTTGCACCATATGACTTTCATTTATTACTTTACCTTAAAAAACCTTTTGTAGGGCAAAATTTTCGCTAGGATAATGAGTTAAAAACTGAAGTTGAAAGATGGTTCCGACAAAAAACGGCACAGCTCTATGATTTTGGAATACAACAGCTTGTACCTAGACTTAACAAATGCTTTTTTGGAAAATCAATAATTTTTTTATCAGAAACTCAATTAATAATTTTTCTTTATCAAATTTTTATGGTAATGAATCCTGTACTCATAGGCTTAATTATTATTTTCTGCAAGTGCAGTAACAGATCTTGTAGGGTAGAGTTTTATAATTATTGATTTGTGTCTTTCATCTCTTTAAAAATTATTGGTTCCAATCAACAATACAGTTATTACATAGAATTATAAATGGTTGATTAAGAGATCAACAGCTAAATTACTTTTTGATAAAAATTTTAAGCAGCATATTCATTATGTTTTTTTTTCTTTTTAAATTATTTGTTTAAAGAAGTCTTGAACTCAATTAAATATTTTGATTGAATATTCATATTAAGGATTATTGTTCTCTTTTCATGCAACTACATTATAAAAATTTTCCACATATTGATATAAAACTATCTGTGCTTCATTGATAAAATTATAAGAGCAGAATTGTGTATAAATAGATAAGATTTCATTATTTGTTATAGTAATCTCTAAATTTTATACATAATACTGATATTTTTAATATATTTGCTTTACTAAATGAAATCTTCATTAAGAGAGCATAGAATTAAAGCTTTAACAAATAAATGGATAAGCAAATAAATAAGTCATCAAAACTCTAAACTATCAAATGAATAAATCCATGTATTGTTGATTTGTTAATTTATTGATTTGTTAATTCCTAAACTCACTGGCTCAGTAATCCATGAATCAGTAAACTAATGAATAGAGGAATCAATTGAATAGTAAATCGACAATTTATTAGTTTTCTCATTACTTATTACACTAGTTTTATTCATTAGTTTTTTAAATTATTCATTAATCAATTTTTGTTGACCCTCTTTCATTGATTTGCGCATTAATCAATTATTTCATTCATTTATTTGTTGATTTATTTATTTCCTCATTTATTATTTTCTTTATTTATTACTTTTATGTTCATTCATCTATTTATTTGTTGACTGAGCCATTCACTGATTTGCTCATGAATTATTTTGTATAGTCATTTAAAGAATCACTCTTATAATTTGAAATGTATTGTTTAGAAAGCATGTGATGTAACATTAATTCTATTGATTAGCTTAGCAAATAAAAACATAATTTGGTAAACTGATATAATATAATGTATTAATATTAGTAATGCTAATTAGTATAATGTATTTTGTTACAAAATGAATATTATCGTTACAATGTTTAGTCAATGAAATTCTCTCAACAATATTTAATTATTTTATTGAAAGTTGATTTGCTATTTATGAGGTATATTTTAAGCAATTTTCAAATGTGAATATGGAAAAGCACATACCAAAATCATGAGATTTACTAATTAAACTTTATAATATCAGCATTTTGAAGAAAACAAATACAAACTTTGTTTTTATTACCACAAAACAAGCATTTTTACTTTTTCTTCATTGTTCTTTTAATATTTATTCCTACAAAAACATAATAATAGCAACAGCTATTTATAAGCCTCAGTTGACAGTGAGAATCAGTATAATGGTTTATTTATGATTAAATTTTTTTTCTTTTTGATAATTTTACATAAATTGTTGATCATAATAAAATACTTAATGAAAAAAATACATTAAATGACATTTTATTGATATTAAGAAAATAAAGTCGTTTTATTTTAAGTCTGAGAAAAATAATGATCTGACTTTCATGTCTTAAAGCCAAACATTTGAGTGCTTTTAAAATACCATTTAGCACTTTCTTCTACTAGAATATTCAATCATACTTTAACATACTCTTACAACTTTAAAGCTCATTTAAATAGCCCAAAAGTGCTTAAAATACTTTGGTATGAGCTCTGCAGATTTTGATATCTAGTATCTCACTTAACAAATACGACTTTAAAATTTCTTAATATGGGATTGACAAGCTTAGATGGTTTACAAGTTTTGATACTTCAAAACATATATCTCCATTTTTTTTAAAATCAAAAATGGCACTTACATTTATATTTTCAATTTAGGGTTCTTTTAATAGAAAAAACTTCTATTCATATATACAAGCATAGTTTTTTCTTTCCATTCAACTGCATTTGTTTTTATCATGTTGCACTTTTGCCAAGTTGCACTTCTGTTTCTTTACAATTATGAGTCTTCCATTTCCCTCTGAGGAACATAGTTATGATTTTTATACAGCGCATATATAATACAAAAATGAATCACACACTTGCCTCTACCTTTTTACAAGCAGAAAGTATCTAAGGAAATATGAATCAGTTCCAGATTCAGAATGATGAATCTGACAGATAAATCAGAATGTTCTGCAGATGAATTTGAGGCATTAAATTATGAATGAGAAAGTAGACAGATCAGTCATTCAAAGAGGACGGTCTAATAAATAATATCCAGAGCAAATTAAGCACAGCATCTTCTGCATTTTTTAAGCATGTCTAAACCTGCTCTGAATTTTGTTCTTTTAGTTCTTTACATTCCATTTCTTTTCAAAAAAAAATTCCAAGTTCCTATTTAAACACCTTTGTAACTCTTCCATTTCACACTTTTGTCCTTTTAATTTCGTAATAAAATAGAATTTATTTATGTACATGAGAGCACGAGACCAGCTCTTGCGTATGAAAGTTTCTCTGACCAGCAGGTGATGCATTATTCTTCTTCTTGAAAATCAATGTCAACTGAAATAAATAGTAATTAAATGTATTTTATATGTTATATAAATAGCATACAAATCATTAATAGGAACGTCACTTAAAAAGCCTAGTGGAAAACTGTGTTCAGTCTTTAAGTTTTTTTAAATATATTAAAAATCATGCAAAAAGAAAAAAAACAGAGGCTGTTTACAAAATATCTTGTTCAATTAAAAACTGCTGCATTAAAAATAAATGTTCTACACATATCGTTGGTACTAAAATAACTAAGCATTAACAATTGTTATCATTTTTAATAAAATCAATTTAAAGAAAATAAAAGACTCAGCTTGCAGCATAGTGAAAAGTTGATTATTTCCCCCCCCCCAATTTCAAAATTAGTTACAAAGCCCATCAATAGATGGCGTTGAATTAATGAAAAATGTTTTCTACTGCATAACAGACCTTCTGATTAAATTCGAGCGTTTGTGCATTTTGGCCTTTAGACTCAACTGCTTTTGTGCTGCAAATATTGGTTATTTTTAAAGCATTGTTTTATAGTTGTTTTTTACAGTTAGCAGCGCCATCTGCTGATGATTTTTGTTAATTATTTTTTGAAACTAGTTAAATGAAAAGATCGTTTCCTAAACAGAACGCAACAGGCTGTTCATTTCTATCTCCTTCCGTCTTACTGGATGCTCTCAAAAGGTTGCTGAATATGTTTCTTCATTAAGCTCTTCATTTACGAACAATGGGAGAAATGATTTAATTATTCTTTTATATTACAATAACATAATATAAATTATATTTTAACACAAACAAGTTAGTAATGCTGGTTACATATTATATTGAAATTTGTTTTGTTTCTGAAAAAAAAAAAGTTTACCAATTAGGATAAATCGTGTATCAGATGGAAGGATCTATAAGGTACATTATTCCTGAAATTTACGTTTCAACACTAAGACTACTAACTATGAAGGAATCTCAGAATTCATTTTAAAATCTCTGATGAAACGATCTTTTATATATATATATATATATATATATCCTGAAATTTACTTCAAAACACAACTTATTAAACAACGTGAAACTTGCCTTATGTGTTGTTAGTTTTATTTTCATACCCATGACAAACAATATATTGGTGTCTTTTAACGACTGCTCTTGAACTGTATACTTTAAAATCTGTCCCGTAGTGAACTGATCGTTAAGACACGGTTTCCAGCAGATCACCGAAGTCAGGCATCACTGGCTGCGGTCAGTGTGCGGGTGGGTGACCACTTGGATCAGTCTGCGTAGGGACCGAGGGTGTGCGGTATTGGTCCTCGTTAAACTGTGCTACCGTAAAGTGCTCGACTTCGCGCGACGGTCGTTGGGCTTCCGAATCGGGGGTGCCATCCTCTCTGCAGAGGATCAAAATTGTGATGGCATGTCTTCGGATCATCCTCAGGGATGTTTCCCAGATCGTCGCCAATAGCCCATTGTGCAGCTCTAGTGCGACGTAAATGAAGAACAACAACTTTAAAATCTTTATTAAAAATTAAGTAATAGAAAGTATGATGCAGATTAATATTTAAAACAGGAAGAAACAGAAAGGCAATATAAATCTGTCAAATTACTTTTAAGGAAGCTGTGATGAAAATATAAAAACCAGTTTGATTGCCTGATAAATTTCGCCAGGAGGTATCTAGTAATTCCGTTTCAACTTCAACTCTGTTTCAAACGAGAAAAATAAGTGAAAAGCTCTCTTTATTTTGCAGAGATTCTAGATTTTAATTTTTTGAAGTAGGAGTGCCCACATTTTCATTGTAAACAAGTTAATTTGCAGAAAAAGATTTTAACTGAATTAAAAATGTGCAAAGTAATACAGTAATTATTTGTAAACTCATATCTGTGAAAAAGATGTACAGCGCATCAAAAGGTAAATTAAAAGGTCATATTTATTATTATTATTTATATTTTTTTGTTGTTGCAGAGAATGTGAATGTAAAGTTAATTTTGTTTTCCAATCCAAAAGACTTATAAATATTAGGTGATTTGAATTGAGTTGGACCAATAGATGACTAAATAATATCGCTTCAAAGAAACTGCCCAAGTTTTATTTCACTACTAAACGAGTCCATATTTTATTTGATTAAAGCTGTTAACAATTAAGTGTTTATAAAAATGAAAGCGGAACTAATATTTAGTCCAAATAATCGATTATTTACAAACCCATTGCTTTGAAAACACGTAATCATGCATGTTTTCAATGAGTATATATTCACAAGGTGACTAAAGGACATAAATTTAAACGATAATGCTCTCATTATAGATTTGTTTTTGTGTAAAAGAAAATAGAAAAGTTTTAAAGCGAAAAACTGATATTGATTGCAATACCATGTGAAATAATTTTTACTCCAATTCGTTTATTTATTTTACTTTTATTTATTTTAATTAGATTAGATAGTATGTTATATAACAATGATTGAGAATGTTATTTTTTTTTTTTATAAAATTGGTAGTTTCTTTTCCGTTTACAATAAATGTTTTTGAGTTTAACTTTGTCTTTTTGTTAAAAGATTAAGATTCAAGTATATTTAATAAAAGAGTTGAATTATATAAAACTAAAGTTAAATAGAATTTTAATTAAATTGCAAAAGTTGTAATACTGATGAAAACGGTGGCATTTTTAAATTTTTTTCTATGATCAAATTGAAAGCATTTAATTTTCGTGGTTTTTTACTGATATTTTATTTTATAAATATTAAATAAAGTTGAAGATGCGAACGGAATGTATGCTTTCGATGGTGTGTGAGACTCACGTCTTGTTCGAAAATGGCGAATCAAAATTACAAAATAATCAAAAATTATGTAGATGCAATAGAAAATTCTACATACAATAGAAGCTACATTGGTAAGTAGATGTTATCAAAACTTCAAACAAAAAAGCAGATTAAAATTGTTGAAATTGTGGAGCCCATAAGCAAAAAAAAAAAAAAAAAA